TTCTCCTGTGGAAATCTTTGAACTCCCACAGGGCCACATCAAGAGAAGCTGCCACCAGCTGCCCCAGGGTAATAGGTTACATGGCTGACTGCCCATTTCAGGGATGCCCTTAAGGATGGGGATCGTGTTGTCAGGTTCGTTCATGTGTTCTGGGCACTTAGCGTGGTGCCCAGCAGCTGGGACATGATCAGGAGATGTGTAGTGAATGAATGAACGAACCACTTAGAATAGAAAGGGTCCAGCATTTCCATTCACTGAAGCCATCAGTGGCTGAAAATGAGATACTACACGAGAAATACTCCTATTCCCAAATGTGCTTCTTTATTTAGCTAGTTGCATTTAAATTCTTGACTTTTTAAGTTGTGGTATAATATATATACAGTAAGGCACAGAGATCCATAGCGAAGAGCTCAGTTAATGTTTTCACATGCACCTACCCATGTTCCCACCAGTCAGATCAAGATAACCTTGCTCACGCGCAACAAGGCTCCCTTGTGCCCCCTTTCTGTGGGCAGCTCCTGCCAAACGTAACCGCAGTCTTCTATTGTTGGATTGGTTTTGCCTGTTCTTGAACTTCATGTAAATGACAGTATAGAGTATGTGGTCGTTTGTGTTTGGCTTCTTTCACTCAATATTATGTCTGTAAGATTCATCCAAGTTGTTAATTGCTATGTAGCAGCAGTTTGTTCTTTTTATTGCAGGGAGCCATCCCATTCTATGAATCCACCACAGCCTATCCATTCTGTTTGGGCCACTTCCAGCTTTGGCTATTATGAATGAAACTGTGACGAATGTGTTCTTGTACATGTCTCTAATTGTACATGTATTCTCAAAGTTCATGTTTTAGTTATAAGGAGGGAGAGGGGGGAACTAATCATGACAACGGATACTTCCTGAAAGGTGACTGAGCCAGGAATGAGCGTAAGTCGCTATGCAAATGCTCTGTAGTCACAGCCCGTGTATGCTTTCTATCGCTACATCAGTGTATCCCGACGTTGGACCTTAACTAGACAAACCTGTAAAAGCAGGACGACCTCGTAAGTACAAATTGATGGGATCAGTCAGCCCCTGAAATCAGCTAACTTGTTTTGTTTATCTCGCCCCTCCCCACGTTATGCCCCTACCGTATTACCACCTACTGTCGCTGTCCCTTCGCGAGGGTGGGAGCTCGTCAGGTGTGGGGCTAAATTCCCCACACCCAGTTCTATGCCTGGTCCTGGTAGACTTGCAAGAAATATTCTTACTTATAAGGGAACTATTCTTAAAGATGACTCTTGAGCACATTGATTTTGAATCTCCCGGACATTTTGCCACAAGACTGTCTTGGACCAGTAAAACCCAGCCCTTTGGTACTGAGTTGGAATGCCAGTGGCAGCCACCAACATCTACTTCTCTAAGAGAGCAGCTCTCTCAGGTGTTTGCCGGTGTTTTTGTGCCCTTTTTTTTCCCCTGTTAACCTGATGTTAAGCAGTTTAAAAGGTTTAAAAGTTTTTTTTTTTTTAAGATTTTAACTAACATACAATATCTCAAGTGTTCTGTTTGTGTGTCGAGGGTTGTACCTATCACCTCAACAAGAAGCAGACCATCTCTATCACCCCATACGTTCCCTCCTCCGTTGGCCACCTCTCCCCAACTGTAGGCAACGACAGATCTGACTTCCTTCAGTACAGATTAGTTTTGCCTGTTTTGGACCACATATAAATGGAAACGTGGTGTGTGCTTTGTTGTGACCGGCCTCCTTTGCTTATCGTAGTATTTTGAGATTTACCTTTGTTGTGTGTATTTTTGTTGCTGGGTAGTATTCCATCGTAAGAATAGCTCACCCTTCGTTTGCTTTGTAATTGATGGACTTTTGGGTAGTTTGTCCTTTTTGGCTATTTTTAAGACCGTTTGGTATTACATTTTTGTGCAGTCTTTTTGTGGAAGTAGCTTCTCATTTCTCTTGGGTGAATAAATATCTGGGGGTGGGCTTATTTGGTAAGTGTATGTTTAACTTGATAAGAAACTGGCAGTTCTTCAAAGTGATGGAACCGCTTTACGCTGCTCCCAACAACATATGGGTTTTGTAGCTCCTCCACATCTTTACCTGCATTTGTTATTGTCATGGAGCTATTTTAGCCAGCTCTAGTTTCTCTGACATTTGTTTTAGGCAGTTCTGCATCTCTCTCTCTCTCTCTCTTTTTTTTTTTTTTTAATTTTTCAATGTTTATTTACTTGTGAGAGAGAGAGAGAGAGAGAGAGAGGGGCAGAGTGGGGGAGGGGCAGAGAGAGAAGAAGACCCAGAATCCGAAGCAGGCTCCAGGCTCTGAACTGTCAGCACAGAGCCGGACGTGGGGCTCAAACCCACGAACTGTGAGGTCATGACCTGAGCTGAAGTTGGAGGCTTAATCGGCAGAGGTGCCTTGAGCCTCCGTTCACAGCACTAGGAGCTTTTTTTTTTTTTTTTGTAACATTTATTTATTTTTGACAGAGGGAGACAGAGCAGGAGCGGGGGAGGGGCAGAGAGAGAAGGAGATACAGAATCTGAAACGGGCTCCAGGCTCTGAGCAGGCGGTCAACATAGAACCTGCAAGGCTTTTTTTTTTTTTTTTTTTAAAGTGACAAGGCTCAGATTGCCTTAGGGCTTCCTAACCTGAACCCTTATTGTACTTTTGTTTGTTTCCTTCTTGAAAAAAGACTTTTAACTCATTCCAGTTTTCCTGTTCTTGTTTGTGAGGTCTGAAGTTCCAATTGAGCTTTTAAGGCTGGACCACCATTTGCTATTGGATTTTTGGCTTTAACTACATTGAACTAGAAAAACAAACTCTTCAAGAGTAAGGATGTTGTCTGACTTAATTGTCCCCCCTCGAGTTTCCAGAACAGCACTGCCACATAAGAAGTATTTGTTTAATGAATACATTTAAACTATGGAAGCGATCATATTATACTGTAATCAACATTTAGAAATTCATTAGGGGTTTCTGATAGTGCCAGAGTTTTTTTTTTTTTTTTTCTTTGTAAAATCAAAATGGAATATAGTTTGGTGAAAAGGGTATGGAAGTTAACCAAAGAAAATAGATTAGAATTATTGATGAGTAAAAAAAAATTTTTTTGTGAGCACCTGAGTGTCTCAGTTGGTTGAGTGTCTAACTCTTGATTTTGGCTCAGGTCATGATCTTGTGATCATCTCATGAACCGTGAAATTGAGTCCCATGTTGGACTCTGTGCTAACAGCATGGACCCTGATTGGGATTCTCTCTCTCTCCCTCTTTCTCTGCTCCTCCTCCGCTTGTGCATGCTGTCGTGTGTATGCTCGCGAGTGTGCGCTCTCTCAAGATAATAAACATAAAAAAATTTTGTGCTGGCACAGTATTTGGTTGTCCATGTGGTATGATAGAAGGGGGCTGTTGAAAGTTTCCATTTTACAAAATCTTTCTCCCACCAGATTGGCAGGACTAAAATATAAATTAGTAAAAATTTGTTTCTTGGCTAAGGTATTCTTATTTTCATGAGCTCTCTTTTAAAATTCAAGATTTTAAGGAAGAGCCATATGCATCCTTGTTGAGAATTAGTTTAACAGACTACTCCTTCGTTCCTTCACCACGTCTGGGGAAGCAAGACCCAGGAGAAGGCTGGTGCAGTGCTTTGTTTCCTGAGAGTGAGGGTGGGGAGGGATGGGGGTAGGGTGTTGGGAGGGTAATTAATGTACCTGTGTGTGCTCTGGCACGTGAATGTGAGTTAATGTTGAACTTGAAAACCAGAGTGCAGTAGGGCAGGTATTGGGGAGAAAACATGACCTCTGTCCAAATTTTGTCTGTGAGGCTGTTAAAGATCAGATTTACATATAGAAAGTATAAAAGCCATTCCCTACTTTCTTTCATTCCTAAAATCCTGTACAAAAGATGACTTCTATGTTTTAAGGAAGGTTTTGTTCTCAGACATAAAACAAATTAGGAACGCTTCAGTTTTATCTCTTAGACCTAATCTGCAAGGAAATATTCTCAGTCTTTAATTTGTTCTTTTCTTTCCCAATTAATCCCACAGTCCGCTTAAATCCATGACTAATCCAAAGATGCATTTAGTTTCATATTTAGTCTTCCCTTCCCATCTGCCTAGTAGTTTCCGTCTCTGCCCACGTGTGTTTGAGACCTCCAGTATTTGATCTTCATGTTTCGTTTCTCATTGACTTCTATAAAAGGAGTCTATCTGGAATATAATAAAATATCCGACAGTTGTACACACACTGCTAAATAAAATGGCTGTACTGAGGACGCTGTGCTGCTTTTCTTCCTTCCTACCGCACTCCGAATACGATCCTCCTCCTTCCTGGAGAGTCAAAGCCTGAGCGGCTTCCTGCCCACTCTGCCTTCTTTCCCACCACCCACCCTGTTGTCCACAGCACTTCTGGCGTGCTGGCTCCCTCTGTTCGGTCCTGCTGGATGGGGTTTTGCACATCCTGTTTCCTCATCTCTGAACACTTCTCTTGTGTGACCTAGAACCTTCAAGTCTAGGCTTAAAGTGAATCCCCGGTGAAGCTTTCTCAGACTGACGCTTCTCCCCATTTATTTCTTTTCATTCGTAGACTTTGATTTTTTAGAATAGATTTTATTTTTTTTAAGTGTTTATTTTTAAGAGAGCGTGAGAGGGGAAGGGGCAGAGACGGAGGGAGACAGAGAATCCCAAGCAGGCTCTGCACTGCCAGCACAGAGCCTAACATGGGGCTTGAACTCTCAAATTGTGAGATCATGACCTGAGCCAAAACCGAGAGTCGGACGCTTAACCGATGGAGCCAGCCAGGCGTCCTTTAGGATAGATTTAAAAATTTTTTTTTTCTTTCAACGTTTTTATTTATTTTTGGGACAGAGAGAGACATAGCATGAACGGGGGAGGGGCAGAGAGAGAGGGAGACACAGAATCGGAAACAGGCTCCAGGCTCTGAGCCATCAGCCCAGAGCCCGACACGGGGCTCGAACTCACGGACCGCGAGATCGTGACCTGGCTGAAGTCGGACGCCCAACCGACTGCGCCACCCAGGCGCCCCTAGGATAGATTTTAAAGAAGACCTGAGCTGATAGCACAGAGTTCTTGAATAGCCCCTGCGCAGTTTCCCCTATTCATATTAGTGGGGGACATTTTCGACTAATGAAACAATATTAATAACTATATTAACTCCACATTTTTATTCAGATTTCCTTAATTTTTATCTGATGTCCTTTTTCTGTTCCAGGGTCCCATTCAGGATATGACATCACATTTAGTTGTTTTGTCTCCTTGGGTTCTTCTTGGCTATGACAGCTTTTCAGACGTTCATTGTTTGTGATGACCTCGCCAGTTTTGAGGACTGCTGGCTAGATGTTTTGTAGGATGCTCCTCTGTTGGAACTTGTCAGAATTTTTCCCCCTCATGATTGGGCTAGATAATGGGTTTGGGAGGAAAATCATGTAAAGTGCCATTTTCATCATAGCATGCTAAAGGCACATCCTATCAGTGTGACTTATGACTGTTGATGTTGACCTTGACTTCCTGGTTGAAGTAGTGTGTGTCAGATTACTCTACCGTAAGTTACTCCGCACCCCCACCCCGCCCCCACCTCAACTGTCCTCTTGGGAAGGATGTGAGTAGACATAGCCCACAGCTGAGCAATGGGCAGTTATGCTCCCCTTCCTTTGGGGAGGAGCATCTACATAAGTTATTTGGAATTCTGCGTGAGAGATTTGTTTTCCATTTATTGATATATTCAGTCATTTACTCATCCATGTAGACTCAAGTATATTTCATACTTTGGGTTATAATCCAGTGCTGCTTATTTTTTCCCCCCAGTTCTACCTTTGACCATTGGGAACTGTTTCACTTGGCTCTTGTGTCTCTTTGACCTTGTCTGGTCGATGTGGACATTGACTTAGTAAATTATCTTTGAACATTTTCTTAATTTCTGACACCACAAAATGCTCCAAGGTAATCTTGCGTATTTCCTGTCCAGACCTAGAATCAAATATTTCTCCAAGGATCCTTGGTTGCTTTTGCTGGAGAATGGTGTTGAAGACCAAGATTGGGGTGCCAGTGTGCTCCTTGCTACTGGAATATTCCCCATGTATTTTTATTACTGTACCCGAAACTTTCATTAGTAGCATGAATTATATAGTATGTTATTTGCTTTCTTGTCTGTCTTTCCCACCTGTATTGTCTGCTCCATGAGGTCAGACATTGTGCTTCACCCATAGTGCCTGATGCATAGTTGACCCTCAAGAAACATTTGTTGAGTGAGAGAATAAGTGAATGAATCTTGGCTGGAAAGCAGGGCTTTGATCGAGAGCTTGAATGTTCATTCAACAGCTGTTTAAAGCCCATATATCATATGAGTGGTGGTTCAGACTATAGGGGTTTCAGTGTGTAAAGTTTTAAACACAGGTTAGGTTGGTTAAAAGCTGAACAGGTGATATTGAGGATTCCCTTTCTGTACACAGAACTTGCAAATTCATTAACGATGATGTTCACATTCTAATTCTCTAGTCAACTTGTTAATTAAGCTTTATGATTAGAAAAGGTATATATGAATTCTAGCTGAGTATTACACCCTGTAGGTGAGATAGCTGGATAGGAAACCCTTTTTTCTTTGCTGGTAGATAGAATAAAGACATTTTTTTTTCCTTACTGTTTCCCCCTCCCTCAGCTGCTGTGGGCGAGGAGGTACAAGTAGAGGTACAATGAATGTGCTATAATTGCTTTTTCTCTGTTAAAAGTCACATTTTGGAACAAAGCTAGAGACACGTGGTTAGCCATGTAGTTAAGCACACAGGCCTCGAGCAGGCACTGGTAGCTACGGGAGGTTACACAGGTAGTGTGAGGGAAAGGGTCAGAACTGGTCGGATCTCAAGCTTCAGCCTTCCGCATGGGCGAGTGCACCTTCTAGGAGACAACCCATCCTTTCAGTGCAGAGCCCAGACAAACAGTGTACTCGGTGTGGGGGCCTCGTGGGCGTGTCTCCCAGTGAAGAGCAGGGCCTCAGTTCATCCAAGGGACTCAGGAAAAGTCTTTCAGGGGAAGTGGGGGGAGAGGCGGCATACACGGCCCAGAGACTTGGACACAGGGAGGTGGGGACTTGTCTGCTGGAACTGGAGTTGATGGTAGGTACAGGGAGAAGAGCATGGTGCCAGGACTGAGTTCACTACAGGGTAGACTTGGGGTCCCGTGGGCTGGCACCCCATAGTTGTCTCTCGTTAACCATGTCCAGGGGCCAAGTGGGGGGGAGTTGGTCACATGACCCCAGCCCTAAGTCAAGGGGAAATGCTGGGCCTGACTTAGGTGTCCTTGGTTATTGTCTGACCTTTAGCTCTGGCTTACCTGATGACGAAATTATTCTAAGGTCGCTTTTGGTTGCATACGGGGTCAGCCTGCAGAATTTGCCGTTGCCCCTGGCCTTTAACTCAAAGGTTGGTTCCTATGCAGCATAAATACCTATGCTCCGCCAGCCCCAGCAGATCGAGTCTCTTCTGGGTTCTGCTGTGCTTCACTTCCCTGCTGTACCTAGTGTCTCTGGTTTCTGAAATCTGGTCAAGGAAGATGCTGTGGCTTTCCCTGGATTTCCTGGAAATCCTAGTTTAAAAGGGCCTCTTCTTTCCAGAGGAGACCTTTATTTCCTCCAGAGACAGAGAAACGGCCTTTATTTCCAGTGTCTTGTAAAAGAAACATCTAAAGTTGGCAGCATGGCAGGTCCGCTCATTCACCCCTGAGCCATGCATTTTGTTGGAAAAGAGTGTTTTACTTTTTCATGCAGCCGTTCTCAAACTTGGGGGTGTCCAGGAATTCAAACGGCCAAGTCTAGGCCCTGCCCTGGGAAAGTCTGGTCGTGTAGGTCTGAAGCAGATATAGGTCACCTTGGTTCCACGCAGAAGTCGAGAGCTCCCCGGCCCGTGGGGGCTGGGGGGTCACTGTCACTGTAGGACCTACTAGGTGCTGAGCTGCTTCTCTTGTGGCCACAATAGCTCCTGCCCAGTTATGGTGCCTTTGAAAATACTTTGCTGCCTAAAGCAAATGCATGCCCAGGGCCGGAATGTGCAGTGGTGGTTCGTTCGTTCTCTCTCTCTCTCTCTCTCTTTTTCAATTTATTTTTTTAAAAGTAGGCTCCATACCCAACGTGGAACTTGATCTCCTTACCTCAAGATCAAGAGTAGTTGCATGCTCTTCCGACTGAGCCAGCCAGACTCCCCTGTGCAGTGGTTCTTCTAATATTTCTGGAGAACTTTAGGTTTAGGGAGCTGGAGAGAAAGTATTGGGATAGCAAGAGGAAGGGATATATTGAGAGCTTACTCTGTGCCAAGCACAGTACTTTGCACTTTTGTATACAGAATCTCATTTAATTCCAATAAAACTGAACCAAGTAGATAGTCACACCTTTGTTTCTGGGGGAGGAAACTGTTGCTCAGAGAGGTTAATAACCTAACTTGCTGAAGTTTCCATAGGTAGTGGGTGGCAGATAGAGAACTTGGGCTTAGGTCTGTCTGACTTCAAGGCCAGTGGCCATCCCACTCGTCCCTGTCACTGCCTTCTCTTCCATGCTGCCTCTCCGAGGAGAGAACACACAGCCCCAGCTCCAGCATGTGAGTGCCTGGTGGTCTGCAAGCTACTCACGGGCAGGGTGCTGTATTGGGAGGTAGGTAAGAACACAGATTCTAGAATCGGATGCCTGGAAAGGAATCCAGATCCTGCCACTTCTTAGCAATGCAACACTACACATGTCGGTTTCTTGGACCTTGTTGCATCATCTATAAATAAAGGGTAAGAATATCTATCTCGTGGGATTGTTATGTGTACTAAATAAGTTGATATAACACGTAGTGCCTTGTATATATAGTGGCCACTGTTGGAGTATTAGCTGCTGCTTTATTACTGTAGCCACTATTGATTTTGGTACCCTTAGTGCTTAGCATGACCTGTGGCCCATTATTGGGGCTTAGGGACGTTGGTGAATACATACATTCATTCTTCTTCCACTTACTCTCAACCTTCCACCATTCTTTCCTACCTCTTCTGTGCATTCTCTCACTCCCCAAGCCACAGAAGTTAACCTACTTCCCCTGGTTTGGATGTTTGTGACTTCACGTGTCCACGTGAGAGGATTTCAAGGAGAATTGTGAGAAGGCACAGAGAGATGAGCATCTACCCTTATCGTCTGTATTTGTGTTTCTGTGGGTGGACAGATCCAGAAGACTAGGAGTATTTGCATGAATTTGCACGTTGGGGCATCATTCTGCATTTTTGGGGTGGATTATGAGGAGTAGCGAGGATGTATAATTGCTGACAGTGTCTCACGTGGTGCTACTCTTCTTGAATTGGGTATCAGCCTGGGGCTTTAGAGAGGAAAGATTTGATAGTGAAATCATTTTCCTTACCTGCTTCTCCCTTCTCCCTCCCTGTGGGAGAGTGGGAAGATGGGCTGTGTACAGAAGAGCTCAGGCTGGAGTGATCAGGTAGGAGGCAGACAGAGAAGCCTTGTGTGTTGAATTTAGCAACTTGCCTTTTATCTCCGAGGAATCTAGAAAGGAGGGATGGGGTAAGATAGTTGCATTTTAAAAAGAAAAATGGAGCATGGGGGATGGGTTTGAGCGCTTCCATGCTGGAGGCGGGGAGACCAGGAAGAAGGTGACTGTGGCAATCAAGGCTCTGATGGAAGCAATGAAAGGAGAGGACAAGGGTGTGAGCTGAAATCAGCAGGGCTTAAAGATGAGTTGGACACTTCGGTGAAGGAGGAGTCAGGTGCTTTGTGTGGGAGAGTGGGTGCATGATGCTGCCATCAGCAGAGACAGAATACAGCTGGAGAAACAGGTGGGACTGGGAGTGAGACAGGGATTGAGCTGAGGACCATTGGAGTTTGGGATAGTCCTAGCATGCCCAGTGACAGATGTTAAAGAAGCTGTTGGATATGCAAGACTGAATTTTGGAGGAGGCACATCTTCTTGTAGGTGGTCATTGAAGCCATGAGTGAAGGTGAAGTTGGCCAAAAAGAACCTATGGAATGGAAGAGAAGAGAACTGTATTAATTTCCTGTGTCTGCTGTGACAAATTGCCACAAACTTTAGTGCCTTAAAACAACCCAAATTTATTATGTAACACCACAGGATGTCAGAAGTCTGAAATGGGTCTTATGGGACTAAAATCAAGATGTCAGCAGCGCTGTGTTCTTTCTGGAGACTTGAGGGGTACAGTCTCTAAAGGCTGCCCATGTTTCTTGGCTTGTGGCCACATCACTCTTACCTCTGCTTTCGTTATAACTTCTCTGACTCTGACCCTGCCTTCTTTTTATGAGGATCCTCATAGTTACATTGGTCCTCCCTGGATCATCTATGCTAATCTCCCCTTTGTACCTGCAAAATCCCTTTTGCCACGGAAGGTAATCTATTCACGTGTTTCAGGCATTAGGATGTGGGCATTTCTGGGGGGCAAGTATTCTGTCTTCCATAAGGACCTGAAACAGAACTCCAAGGTTTATTGTCCTTAAAGGCACAAACAGAGGGTGAGGAGTGTGTGAAGGAGTCAGAAGCTAGAGTAGGGAGAATGAGGAGACCATGGCTTTGAGGATGGTTGGGGGTGGGGGGAGATGGTAGAGAACCTCAAGAAGAGAGAATGATTGTTCCTGTCCAATGCACTAGGTTCTATAAGATAGAGATCAAAAGATGACCATTGGGCTTGACCACAAACAAGCAGTTCATTTTTTCAACAAGCATTTACGGAGTGTCTACTTTGTGCCAGGCGCTGTGCTAGGTGCTGAAGATACAGCAGTGATGGAGGCACAGCCCCTGCTCACACCCTGGTGTTGGGGAAGCCAGCAAGAATCAAGTAAACAAATCGCATGGTTGTAACTGCTAGGTGAGGAGTCAAATTAGCAAACGTGAAAGAGAACGACTGGGGAGCGCTCTTCAGAGGTGACATCCGGATGATGAGTGACTCATTGAATAGCAGGGATGCCATTCTAGGCACCGGAAGCAGCTAGTGAAAAGGCCCTCACTGGTCCGGGCCCTAGCTTGGCCGGGACAGGGAGGTGCTTGGTGTGGCTGTAGCACGAGGGTGAGGAGAAGGGTGGTGGGGGATGAAGTTGGGAGAGGCTGTGCATCATGGCTTTGGGATTTAAATGCCAGGTAAAGGGTGTAGATTTTGTTCTAAGATTTTGTTGGAGGAGGTCAAGGGTGAAACGGAAAGACTGGTAAAAGAGGCAATTGCAGTGAGAGTTTATGCTGGTTTCAGCCGGGATTGTAGTAGTTGTTAGGGGTGAGTTCTGTCCTCCAAAAAGATCTGTTGAGCCCCTGGTACCTCTTAATGTAATCTTACTAGGAAATAATATCTGTGCAGTTGTACTCAAGTTACAATGGGACCATACTTGGTTAGAGTGGGCCCTGATCCAACATAACTGGTGTCCTGTTTATAAGAGGGAAATTTGCACAGAGAGAAGGAGAGTGCCTTGTGCCCACGAAGGCAGAGATGGGAGTGCTGTAGCTTCAAGCCAAGGGACACCATGGCCACCACCAGAAGCTAGGAAGGATTCTCTCCTACAGGTTACGGGGGGAGTGTGGCTCTGCTAACACCCGATTCTGGAATTACAGCCTCCAGCACTATGAGACCCATCCATTTCTGTTCTAAGGCACCCACTTCATGGTAGTTTGTTATGGCAGCTTAGGAAGCTGATAAGTGGAAAAGATGGGGATGGGATGGGGGGGGGGGGCAGGTAGAGCTGACAGGATTTGCTGATGGATTGAGAGTGGGAGGTGAAGGAAAGGGAGCAGCTGAGGACAAAGTCGATTTGTGGCCTGAGCAACGGGGTGGCTGATGATTCTCTTTCCCGAGATTGGAAATAGTATGGATGGAACAAGTTTGGGGAGCAAAATCGAGACTTGACTATGTGAGTCAGAAGCTGAGCTGGAGGTATAAATTTGAGGGTCATTAGCATATAGATGGCATTGAAATAATGAGAGTAAGTGAAGTCACCCGGGGAGAGAAAGTTTCAGGCAACCCTGAACGGCCTTGAAAATGCCTCAAGTGGAGGAAACCGTGTTTTCAAACATCGGATGCCCTGGACTTTTTAGGGGTTCCAGTGGGGATGTGTGCTACGTGCACAGATCTGCCTGGTGAAGTTAAATGTGTATTTCTTTTATGTGGTCTGGTTTGAAAACCTGTCCGAGCTATTTTGAAGCTTCCTGTATCGAGAGGCAGAATCTGTCTTTTCCCTCCAAATTTCTCCCTCCTACACTGGCCAGTAATTGTGTCAGTCTTGGGATTTGCTTTGATGAATGTGGCAGAAGCAATATCATGCTAGTTGTAGAGCACGGACTCTGGAGGTCTTGCGGCTTCTGACTTGACTCTCTTGAGTCCCCACTGCTCCTCCATAAGGATGCTTGGGCTCTGTACTAACAATGGTCTGGGTGCAGTTGGGTGAGACCAGCAACAGAGCCACCTAGTCAGCCCTCAGAACTGGGGGAAATCATACACTGTTGTTTTCAAGTCCCAAGGTTACAAACTGGTTGGTTACACAAAGGGATGTACTTGGTGTAGCGCTTGTAGTCACTTAGGTAAGATAGTACGGAGGGAAATAGCTGACTGCTGTTCCGGGTCATGGAAATAAATCGGGATTTAATCTAGATATGATTAAATGGAAATCCAAAAGGTCGTGGAATAATACATCATTCATGAAATGATAAAATACAGAAGGCACATTTCAGAGACCACGTGGCACTCAATAAATCATTCCTTCAAAAAATATTTAAGGGTCTACTTGCTACAGTATGCCTGGTGGGGCAGTAGGTGAGGGGTACAGAGGTGAATGAGACGAGGTCTCCATACTGTCATGGACTTAATGGAGTTTATTGTTAAGTGTGTGGCGAGGAAGGGCCGTGGAGGCAGAGAGTGTGGTTAAGGATAACAATGGCGGCTGTTGATGGACTGGGTCCTGTGTACTTTGTGTCCCTATCGAGACCTCACCACAACCCTATGTGGTAGGGATGATTCCTCTCTGTGCTACGCATGAAGACACTGGGCCTTGTGATGGATAAGCAGTGTGGCCAGGGTTACCCAGCTGGAAAGGGGTGGGTAATACTACCAGCTGTGTCTGACTCTGCAGTTTATACTCTTTCCACCAAGTGTCTTATTTTCCCATTAATCCCTCACCCAACTCCGGTTAGAGGGCCAGATTGCAGGGTGGGCTTTGGGGTTCCTTTCTGGGTTGGCAGTTGGCATTGGGAGGACTGATCTTGAGTTGTTGAAAAATCACTGTGGAAATACAGCCCCCCATTCTCTCTACCCAAGGAGAACCTGGATTCATTGGAGAGGGGAGGGCCACATGAAACCATACCGTCAGGATTTTAATCTGTGAAATCTCAAAAGATCCCTTCTCCCTCCCTAAATATACTTTAATCGGGCTGGCTCCCCTTTTCCCCTCCTCGCCCCCCCTCCCCCCCAAGACGTTTCATCATTGTATCAGATTCTGGCAAAGCCACATGGATGTCAGCTGCAAAGGAGAAAGCCACTTGCAGTCAGTGCCCTTGGCCTGTCTGGTCCCGCCTGGCCATTCCACCTGCATCCTGTGGCCTCCACGGCTTGGAAATGGCAGCCAGGTTCCACTGGCAGAGCTGGGACGTGGTGTCCCGGCCAGTGGACGCTGCTGCAGTGGGGGCGTGAGCGAAGATTGAAACGGGCAGGTCGTTTGACTCTTGGGGAGATGGGTCCTGGCCAGGCAGTCCTCCTGTGCTGAGAGGAAGGGTGTCATGCAGGGTCTGAGAGAGCCTGTGGCCACTGCATTCCCAAGAGTCTGGCTGACAAGAGGGCCTGAGCGGGGAGGCCAAAATCAGCCTCTCAGGTAGGGATCCAGGCAGACAGTTCCATATCCTTGGAGGCCAGGAATGGCTGTCAGTCCTGGGGGCCTTTGCACCGGTGTGGGCGGCTCTCCACAGGAGACCGTTCTTGATGGCTTGGGGCTGGTGGCCTTGCACGGGCACCGTCTCTGGGAGGGTGGGCCTAAGGGTTCGACAAGATGTGCCGACTCGGCTTCCAGCCTTCGCAAAATGGGGGTCCCTTCAAAGACACTTGCTCCTTTTTGGTCCTCCCGGATTCTAGGTTCTCTGAATCCTGGGACTTGAGGGCAGAATCTAACCACAGGTCTCTTATTTCTATCCAGACAAGACTTTGTCCTGACTGGATATTGAGGACGATTTTGAACTTAAAAAAAAAAAAAAAAAAAAAAAAAAATTTTTTTCCCCCCTGACGTGGCCTTGCTCTGCGGTGGCTGCAAGCATGGGGCTATAGGATCTAGAACATCCACGGTGGGTAAATGGGAAAGGCAGACCAATCCAGTGCTCAGTGGAGGACCTCCAACCAGAGAGATGGCAGTCCCCCTGGAAAGAGCTGACAGGTAGGCACCTTAACTGGATCGGCAGCTAGGCACGTTCTGTTGGACCTCAGTAGAGGCCAAGGCCAAACGTCAAAGTATGTTCTTTTCTCTTTTTAAATATAGCTACTGTTCATTTTATTAGCAGTATCTAACATTCCTCAGATATTTACTAACATGCCAGAAACTTTGCCAGGTGCGCTACCGAGATTAGTTTCGTTCCCACAACACTATGAGGTGGATGGTATCAGAACCCCCTTTGCACAGATGGTGAAACAGAAGTGCAGAGAAAGTAGGGAACTTGTCCTCAGTCACCTGAATGGTAAGTTGTGGACCCAGGGATTTGGCGGAGGCCTGAGCACTCACCCATGCTGCCTCCAGTGGGCAGAGAAAAACTGTGCACAGGGTAGAAAGTTTACAAAATGTAACAGAAAAACAAATCATCTCTAGTCTCTCTCTCTCCCCAACGGTAGCTACCGCTACCGCTAATATATTTTCCGTGCAGGTAACTATGTAGCTTAAAAAAGGGTTACAAGACCTCCTGCCTTCTAGACTGCTCTTGTACATTCTGCATTCGATTTTGAATGTTTTCCAGTATTAAATATATTCAACACCTTGATCTGTAATGGCTGCAAAGTGTTTTATTATAAAGGGATCTATAGTTTGGAAAGTCTCTAATATTGGAACTTTAGGTTGTTTATAAATTTTGTTGTTATAAAAATTGCCATGATTAGCAGCTTGATGAATCTTTGCATCCACCTTGGAAGACTGCTGGAAGATAAACTCTTAGAAATGGTGTTTCTACATTGAAAGGGATGTACATTATAAAGGCTCTTGGTATTGAAAAGAACTCTTTCTGGAAGGTCTGTACTAATTTCCTTTCTCACTAGCAGAGTATAGGGCACCTCTTTTACAGCTCTTCCAACAGTGGATATTGTATTATTATTATTTTATTCTCTTGTTTTCACCAGAGAAATTTCACAGTCTTTGATTACTAATGACATTGGATGCTAGGCTTATCAGCCACATGTAGTTCCATTGTGAATCTCCTTTATTAGAGTAATTCTTTTCTTATTGATTTGGATGAGCTCTTCATATATGAAGATACGGCATGAGCCTTTTATCCTAGGTTGTAGATATTTTTCCCATTTGCCGTGTACTTTTATATTGAGGTTTTTTTTTTTTTATGTAAAGAAGTTTTAAATTTCTAGGTGATCGCATCTACTAATCTTTGCCTTTACTGTTTTTACTTTTGGTTCCGTTCTGGATGATACATATCTCTGTTTAAAAAAAATTGTTTTTTTTACTCATTTTTGAGTCCTTCATTTGACAAACACTTGAGTGTCTGTGCTGTACCTGGCCCATCATAGGCATTTGTGGTATATAAATAAGATGGATGAATTTCCCACTTTGGACTTTTTCCTGAAAAAGGGAGATTTCTGCCTGAAACTTTCTACCTGAAAATTTCTGCCTGAAATTCACTTTTAAATACAGTGAGAAGAGAGTTTCTAGGAAGATGGTCTTTCTTTTTAAAAAAATTTTTTTTTTCAACGTTTATTTATTTTTGGGACAGAGAGAGACAAAGCATGAACGGGGGAGGGGCAGAGAGAGAGAGGGAGACACAGAATCGGAAACAGGCTCCAGGCTCTGAGCCATCAGCCCAGAGCCTGACGCGGGGCTCGAACTCACGAACCGCAAGATCGTGACCTGGCTGAAGTCGGACGCTTAACTGACTGCGCCACCCAGGCGCCCCGGAAGATGGTCTTTCTTTGCAGGGTCACTTGGATCTTGGTTGAACTGTTGTGGTAGCTCTGCCTTTCACAGAAGGAAAGAGTTAAGAGGGAAAATCTTTTTTAATATTTACTTTGAGAGAGAGCATGAGTGGGGGAGGGGCAGAGGAAGAGAGAGAGAGAATCCCAAGCAAGCTCCATGCTGTCAGTACAGAGCCTGACGCGGGGCTCGAACTCTCGAAACATGAGATCGTGATCTAAGGTGAAACCAAGAGTCAATTGCTTAACCAACTGACTCACCCAGGCACCCCAGAGGAAAATTCTTAAAAAAAAAAATTTTTTTTTTTTAACATTTATTTTTGAGAGATGAGCAAGATGGAGCATGAGTAGGGCAGGGGTGGGGAGCGGGGGGCGGGGGGGACACAGAATCCGAAGCAGGCTCCAGGCTCTGAGCCGTCAGCACAGAACCGATGCGGGGCTCGAACCTACGGACCGCAAGATCATGACCTGAGCCTAAGTCGGCCACCCAACCGACTGAGCCACCCAGGTGCCCCCCAAGAGGAAAATTCTTTAGCTAAGGCCAGAACTTTAAGGCTTGAACCAAAATGGCTTTCTGTCTCGATGGAAGATCTATTCTGAAGAGGTCAATGTCCCTTGACCCAATCAGACTGTAAAATTCCAGACCACTTGCCACAGGCCAGTTAATCCTGCAAGGGCCATTGAGGCCCTTCTTCTGAAATTGGTCTCCTTGGGTAGGCTTGTGCCCTCATCCAGAACAGACCTGAGGCTTTGCTATAATTGTTAAGAGTTCCTAGTTGGCTGCTTTTGCATAATAGATCCTGCAGAGGTGGCTTGGTATGGAAAAGAAGACTTGGCTTGACCCCTTCAGTTCCTGCTGTCCCTGAAGCTGATGACACAGCACCTTCCTTGTTCAGTCTTGGTGCAGTGGCCCCTTCACATGAGTTTGTGAATAAATACCAGATGCTTTCTCCACGGAAGGCGACAGGCCCAGGATGCACAGTGGCTGTTGGATAGTTACAGTTCTGTTTCCTTGCTGGTTACCTGGACCTGGGTCCCTTGGCCCCTGGAATACAGCTGTTGACTTTTCCAGCCATGGTGAGAAAAAAGGAGAGTAGGGGTTTGATTTTCTTGCTATTGCCCTAAATTGGCCAATGTGTGGAGGATTCCCAGGACAATGTAGTAGGTGTCCAGGACTGAAAACAGGGGTAGTATGGACAGCAAGAATCAGAACACTGGGCTTCCTGGCAGAAGATTTGGACAAAGAATTCTGAGAGGCACATTCTCATGATACAGGGATAGAGCTCATGGAGCCCTTGCTGCCCTGACTGGGATCCTGGTAAGAGCTCTTGCGTCCTTGGTGATTGTTTCTGTTTTCCTCTCTGAGTAGCCTGCTCTGTAGGGAAGGGACCTCTCTGCGCCAGGGCAGGCCACCAGTCCCTGGTGGAGGGATAGTGCACCATGCTGTGCTGTATACTGGTTCTCAAGGAACACTACCACTCTCGATTTGCAGTGCTCCCCCGTTTCCATGGTCTACATACTCCCACCAGGGCTGATGTCGAGCTACCAACAGTTTAACCAGTGGCTCACAAAATTGGCTCTTGGGAGCTGTTAGGAGCAGACTGCAGGTTGTCACAGGAAGTACTGTCCCCCTTCCAGGGGGCTTGGTGCCCACGTCTGAAGGAGAGGCTGTGTTTGCCTGACCTGGGCTCAGCCAGGTATCTGAGGTGCCAGTGATCCTGGTAACCTCCTGGCTCTTCAGGGAGGCCTCAGTTTCTTCCCCGGGTGGTCCTTTTCTTTGGCAGTTTCAGAGCGTGACTCCTGGCATGATCCATCTTAAATATGGAGTGACCCACTTTCGATGGCTCCCTTAGACAGTTGAACTCCTCCAGTATTTCTAGTATAGTACTGCAAATCTTCTCCATGGCACTGATCACTCTGTTACTAACTAGGTGTGTGACCTCGGGACGATCGCTTATCCTCCTCGGGCCTCAGTGTCCTTACCTGTAAAGTGACGGGGTCGGGATGGATGATTTCTTAAGGTCTCTTGCAGCCCTAACATGCCATGATTTTAAGAGTCTTTGAACGACAGCAATATTTATAGTAAATGATCTTCCAGTTCAGGCTGGCTCATAATCTGAAGCAGAGAGGAACATGCTAAGTCATTTGGGGAAGAAATGTTATTTTTGAGTACCATAGATGCTGGTAATAAAACACAAATTCCAAAACGAAAGGAATTGGGCCACATTTCTTAGGTACAAAAGACTGACACCTTGAAAAACGACGGGGTTAATAGATTCAGCTATGATGATCCCTGTGGTTCCAGCTCCAGAAGAAAGGTCCTCCTGGGAAATCAACAGGAACTCTTTTAGACAGATCAACTCTAAATTATGGAGGGATTATCCGGGTTAAATCTTGCTTTCATGCTTTTTGACTGCATCTATTCTGCTTAATTACTTACTTGGTTGGCATCTCAGATTTCCTCTATTTTCGTGCAGCCTGCAGGGACTCCCTCTGATGAGATAGGGTGCTATCTTGAAAGAGCAGTGGATTAGCAATCAGGAGACCCAATTTCCAACTGGTGGTAAGACTCTAACAGATGATTTCTCCGATCTGGGTCTCAGGTGCATTTATTGAAAAATGAAGGATGTGGGCTAGATCAGTGATTCACAGCCAGAGGGCATTACAGAATGTCACTGACTTTGTCTGGCCTTGGTTCACAGGTGTGTTTGGGGCTCGGGTCTGCTCCACCTGGCTCTGTTTTCCGGGACGACTAGTGGACTCCCCTAGGCAGTTCCTCTCTCAACACTGGAGAAATGGAGAACACAGTGCCTCCCTTCTGGAGGCCAAGGCTGAATTGAGTCTCGCTAGCCCTTTTGCCTACAGCACACTGACCAAGGCAAGTGACGTGGCCAAGCTGGATGCCCTTGGGGCAGGAGTTTATGCTCCTCCTCTCCTGGGACAAACTGAAGTCATACGGTGACCTTGGGAATCGGAAGGGGTGAAGATCGGGAACAGTATACAGCCTCCCAGAGAGGGCCTCTCGTCCGTCATTTTATAGAACAGCTTCAAGATAAGAAACAGAGGAAGGCTGATCGCCTCCCTGCCCACACACAACACATACACAAACAAAATCCAAAATACCCAACAACGATAACAATAGTGAGAACACACTGGGAGCATAGGTAGTAAAGGCTGCCTACTTCTCTGGGTGGCTGGAGGTCAGGTCCTATAGCCGGTAGTCTTATTTGAAAATAGTTTTAGTTGTACGAAGCCTCAGTTCCACAGCTGTGAAATGGGGCTAGTAACCTCAGTCTGTGTCCTCAAAGGGTGGCTGTGAGGCTTGGCTTAAGGAAATAGCTGTGACGTTTTAAGCATGATGCTTGGCACATAATGGGTGTTGGGAAGACATTTGTTTCTCTTCCTTGCCCATCTTTGAGCCCATCTCCTTCTGGCTGGATTATGAGATCAGCCGCCTCTCTGTGCCGCTGTCACCCTGCCTTCAAATTCTCTCCTAATGGCTCTGCTTTTTCCTGTCCCTGTGCCTTCATTGGGCACTCTGCCCTGCTTGGTGCATCCTCTCTTTTGCAAAAATAGTATTTTTCCTTTATGGCTAGCATGAGTCCCACTTTCCTTTGCTAACAGGTAGCAGCTCACAACAGACCCTTTCTCTTTACCATTCGGTATTTAACCTTGTGTGGCCTCTTGTTGCCAATTGATGTCTGCTGAAAGTTCAAGGACAGAATCCATGGTTGACCCGTCTCCGTATGTCTTATACCAGCCCTTTGCAAAGAATGCAGTAGGTGCTTAGTATTTGTTGAAAGACTAGAAAAAACCGTCTGGTCCCTAAAGCCATCACCTTTATCTGTGTGATGTGACTGAGACCAGAGGACCAGCAGGAAGAACAGGTCTCATGGGGACTCACATAGGAGGCTGCATTGGTGGGGAGCTCAGGGTGCCCCAAGCCTGGCCCTGGGTCATGTGGTCTCAGGAGAAGCTCCAGAGTGCTGGGACCCACTGATAAGCCACTAGGCTGGCGACTGGCCAGCTGTCTGGCCACTGTTTAGACACGGAGTTGACCCCCGCCTGGCCCACATGCCAAAGGAACAAGCCTTTATTTTTAAAATTTTTATTTATTTTTCATGTTTACTTTTGAGAGAGATGGGGAGAGAGAGAGAGCGTGAATGAGCAGGGGAGGGGCAGAAAGAGAGCAAAACACAAAATCTGAAGCAGGCTCCAGGCTCTGATCTGTCAGCACAGAGCCCAACCTTGGGTTCGAACTCAGGAACTGTGAGATCATGACCTGAGCTGAAGTCAGACGCTCAACTGACTGAGCCACTCGGGTGCCCGAGGAACAAGCCTTTATAGTTTATTCTTGTCTGGGGTGGAGCTGGGGTCCCTGCCGGTGCCTTGTGGGATAATAGTTGCTTTTCTGCTTCACAGAACTTCATTCTGTGGGTGACCTCTTCATTGTCCTTGTCTTGAGTTAGGGAGCTTTGAGAGATTGAAGGCTAATTGGAGATTTAGGAGTTAAAAAGGGGTGGAGGTGGGGAGGGTACGAGAAAGGAGGCAAGAGTTTGGTAGTGTTTTTGTACCTTGTGTGAATTAAAGATATCTGTGTCCCTTGTTCTTCATCGCAGGAATGACTTCCCCACACACCCAGTGGCTCAGGCCAAAACCCTAGGAGTGCTTTTCAGCACTTCCTTCCCCTTTCCGAGCCCACCCGTGGTCTGTCCCACCTTTCCTCCACGTTCTGTCCCTCGTCTGATCCTGTTCTCCTCCCGTCTCCCCAGGACCCCCATTATGACCTTCTCATGGCTGCTGACTCTTTACCGCCCCGCCCTCCTGCCCCCCTACAATGTAGCTCCTAGAACCACAGCCAGAGTGAGGACTTCAAACTCTAAATAAAATAATGTTTTTCTCCTCAAAACCCTCGTGGCCTACAGTTTTCATGGACTATAAATGGCAAACTCCTTGCCATGAAACGATATGGTGGTTCCTCTGAAAGAGAAACCTAGAATTACCGTAGAATCCAACAGTTCCACTTTTGGGTATGTGAGTTGTTAGAAAATAAGCTGAAGCATAATAAAAATTTTAAGCGTTGGAGCCAAACTCGAATTGGGTAGTGCTGTATAGGGTGGTCAGGAGCACTCCAATGGCAGGAACTAAGGGAGGGACTAGTATAGAGAAGAGGTGGAAACAAAGCCAAGGACGTTCTTTGATTGGTTATAGCTTGAGTGTGTTCCTTATTTGGGAAAGCCTAGTTGGTTGGTTGTGATGAGTTGTCCTTAGGTTTTGGTTTCTTAAGGCATTACAGACTTACGTGTTGGTTTGCTTACTTAGGCTACTGAAGTGTCCAAGCCACCTCGGTCTAATGACCTCCATGTTTAATTACTTAATGACCCAAAGGAATTGGAAGCAAGGTCTCAGAGATATTTGCACATCCATGTTCATAGCAGCACTGTTCATGATAGCCTAAAGGTAGCAGCCATGTAAGTGTCCATTGGTAGATGAACGTGTACACAAAGTGTGGCATATTCTCAGCGTGGACTGTTACTCAGCCTTAAGGAAATCTTGTCGCATGCTATAGTTTGGATGAATCTTGAGGACATTATGCAAATGTGAAATAAGGCAGTCATGAAAGGACAAATACTGAATGATTTCTACTTACATGGGTTTTATAGAGTAGTCAAATTCCTAGACAGAAGGTTGAAAAACAGTGGTTGCTTGGGGCTGGGGGCGGGGGGAATGGGGACTTGTTGTCTAATGGGTACAGAACTTCAGATCTGCAAAATGAAAAGTTCTGGAGATGGACAGTGGTGGTTGCATGACAGTGTGGATGAACATAACACTACTGAACTTTGTACTTAGAAATGGTTGAGATGGTAAATCTTATGTTAGGTGTCACTAGCCAGTTAAAAAATCCAGGGGCACATGGGTGGCTCTGTCAGGTAAGTGGCCGACTCTTGATTTGGCTCAGGTCATGATCTCATGGTTCAGGTGGTCGAGCCCCATGTTGGGCTCTGTGCTGACAGTGTGGAGCCTGCTTGGAATTCTCTCTCCCTCCCTCTCTGCAACCCCCCCCCCCCCCCCGCGGTCTCTCTCTCTCTCTCTCTCTCTCTCCCTCTCTCAAAAATAATAAACTTAAAAAAAAAAAAAGATTAAAGAAAAAAAGAAATCCAAACTGCCCGTGATCTGCTGGTCTCTGCTTGACCTGGCCTCTACGAAATCTTAAGCCTCTTCACACCGGGCCCCTCCTACACATGGTCCCTGCACCAGCCTACTTTCTCTCTGTTGGCCTGTACTTGTGTTCTCCGTGAACGGAAGTTGCGTGTCTGCCATCTTCTTGTGGGCTGGGCTCCACTCCCGTGTCTCCTCATACTCCTCCTTTTCCTCCAGTTACTCCTTATGATGTGACCATATGCCTCCTTTATGGGCCATCAGAGTACTTATGCCGTAGATTGAATTCTAACTCCCTAAACCTGTTGTTTTGACTTGTTTACCCCGGGGACAAGGCTCATGCTCACCAACTGTTCATTCAGCGGTGTTTTCTGCCTCATGTTTCTGGTTGACGGTTAAGAGGACATGTGTTCTATGTGGTTTTCCTGGTTGTGGGTCCGAATGACACTGAACCGGACATGATCTCTGGACCAGACTGCTTGTGCTCCGGGATGGAACCTGGTTGGATGTGGGATTAATGAAATTAATTAGCCTTCCCAGGGATTAAATTATTAACCTTGAACTCAACATATTTTTATTGGATTTCTCTCATGCTTGAGGCATTAGGGAAGGGAAAGAGAGTTGTAAAGAGGGACAAGACACAGCACGTGTCTCAAAGAGCTTCTAACCTGACAAGATTAAGTAGCAAAGGCCTCGGTGAACAGTAGGAGGTGGGGTATGGTGAGAGAGGGGAGGGACAGAGGGGGATGTTACGTCACAGCCACGCGGCTCCAGAGAGGCTCTACCAAAAGGGTCTGTTGGGGTGGGTCTGGAAAGGTGGGGGGATTCCGCTGTGCGGACCTCGATGCAAGAGTGAAGCCGGGTTTGCTGCGAATGAGGGCGAGACCGGAAGCGGTGGCGGGTGCTTGGGTGATCTGGCAGGGCCAGTCGGGTGGCGCGGGGAAACAAAGGGCCCTAAGAGTGTGTTTGCGGTGTGGCCATTGTTCTCCGTAGTCCAGAGGGAGTCTGTGGCTTCCTAGCAGAAGAGTGAAGAGATCAAAGCCGAGTTGGAAGATGGCTTGATGCTGATGGGCGGGTTGGCCTGGGGGGGCCGACAGGCTGGCGGCACAGGCCCCATTTGCACCTGGGGGCTCTTCCAGTGGAACAGGTAGTCGACCAACCGTGCTGGCCCGGATGTGGGTAGTTAGGAGAAGGAGGGCGAGGTGTCTGAGGTACGTCAGACAGCACTCGACAGCTGTGTGGGGTAGTGGGGAGAGAGAGAGGTGCGGGTGTGAGCACATTTATAGGCAGAAAGGGAGGAATCCCTCCCAGGGCTTGGCAGCCAGGATTCCCTGGCCGGGAACTAATTTCCAGATGCCCCACAGTCAGGTGCCAATAACTGCCTTTCCCCACCTGTGGGGCTTGGCCACCGCCACGAGGACTCCCCTTTCCCCACAGGAACCACAGAGAAGCCCAGAACAGGAGCAGGAAGCTGTCTCCGATTTGGAATCTTGACGCGTGAGCCCGGGTGCCCCGTGGCTTCTGGAGCTGTCGCCCTGTTTCCTCTCCAGCCTCTTGCCTCTCGCCTTGTTCCGCTCATGTTTAACATCGCTCTGCTGTCCCCAGGCTCTGTGGCCGAATGTCCTCCTTTGACCCCTGCGGGGCCTCCTGGCACCTTGTCTGCTCTTTGCTGGCATGTGATACAACCTGGGCTTTTCTGGTTCCAGCCGCTGCCCACCCCCTGGGGCTGATGCCTGAACAGTGTTTGCACAGAGCAGGTTAATGCTTAATCAGTATTTGTGGAATGATTTAAAAACAAGCAAAATGGGCCCAACTAAATACGTTTGCATTTTAGCACCACTGCCTAAAGGGATAAAAGGAATGTTCAACCCATTATAGGACGTTGACATCTAATTTCATTTCTTACTAATGCATAGTTAGAACAGAATCCTATCATTCCCATGGTACCAATACTGGCGTTGCATTTAATTAATCAAAATGAGCAATGTTTGGTTGAAATATGCACTGAGAAAGAGGAGAGCTAGTATAAAGGGTTTTCTAAATGAAATTTTTTTGTCTCCACTCCAGCACAGTTAGCATACATTGTTGTGTTAGTTTCAGGTGTACAACATAGGGATTCCACACTTCTATGCATTCCTCAGTGCTCATCAGGAGAAGTGTCCTCGTAATCCCCATCCCTTATTTCACCCATCCCCCTCCCCTCTGGTAACCCTCAGTTTGTTTTCTATCGTTAAGAGTCTCTTTCTTGGTCGGTCGGTCTGCCTGTCTGTCTCTCTTTCTCCCCCTTTGTTAATTTGTTTCTTAAATTCCGCAGATGAGTGAAATCCTACGGTATTTGTCTTTGTCTGAGGGACTTATTTTGCTAACAGACTCTAGCTCCATCCATGTTATTGCAAACGGCAAGATTTCATTCTCTTAGGGCTGAATAATATTCTGCTGTATATGCACACCACTTCTTTTTTAACCCATTCTTTTATGTTTATTCATTTTTGAGAGACAGAGACAGAGTGTAAGCGAGGGAGGGATCGAGAGAGAGGGAGACACCGAATCCAAAGCAGGCTCCAGGCTCTGAGCTGTCAGCCCAGGGCCTGAGGTGGGGCTTGAACCCACAAACCATGAGATCGTGACCTGAGCCAAAGTAGGATGCTCAACCGACTAAGCCACTCAGGCGCCCCCCACCTATTACTTATCCATTCATCTATTGATGGACACTTGGGCTGCCTCCATAATTTGGCTATTGTAAATAATGCTGCAATTAACATAGAGGTGCATAAGTGGTTTTTATTTTATTTTATTTTATTTTATTTTATTTTATTTTATTTTTTTAACGTTTATTTTTGAGACAGAGAGAGACACAGCATGAACGGGGGAGGGGCAGAGAGAGAGGGAAACACAGAATCGGAAGCAGGCTCCAGGCTCTGAGCCATCAGCCCAGAGCCCGACGCGGGGCTCGAACTCGCAGAACCCAAGATTGTGACCTGAGCCGAAGTCAGACGCTTAACCGACTGAGCCACCCAGGTGCCCTGCATAAGTGGTTTTTAAATCATGATTTTAAAAGGTGGTATTGTGCAGATGACTCAGCATTTGTGTATGCGTTTATGGGAGTGGAGAATAAAGCTCAAGAAAGTGTGCATGCAGGGGAGGCAGACTTTATCCACCTGTGGGCAGAGGGTTGATTGTAAGTGTGGTGCCCCGAGGACGTGGTAATCTACTGTTTCCCAAGCAAACCGAGTCCCTTTCCTACAGAGCATTTAATAGCAAATAGAGCCAGTTCTTCCCCTAAATAGATTCCCTCCAGAGTTGAGGTTTTAAGGTAGTGGTCAGCTGGCTTTCACTGTGTAACAAACAACCACAAAACCTCAGTGGCTTAGGACACATCAGGGTACAGTTGATCTGTAGAGTTCTGGTTGGCTGGGCTCACTCCTGCCTCTGTAGGTTGATGGGGGGCACGCCTGGGGCACCTTAGCTGGGGCAGTTCTTTGTGTGCCTCTCCTTCTTCTCCCAGGACCAGCAAGCTGGCCTTGGCTTGTCTTCTCACAGCGAAGCTGGAAGTGCTAGGAGCGCATGTGGAAACATGGCGGCCTTCCCAAGGTCTTCCGTTGGAACTGGCGCAGTGTTACTCCCACCATGTAATCCTGGCCAAAACAAGTCTCGTGGCTAAGCCCAAATTCAAGGGGTGAGGAAGTAGATTCTGTCTCGTTGGTGAAAAGAACTGCAAAGTCACATGGTAAAAAGGTGAAGATCGGGACCGTGGATGCGTTCCACCACAGATGAGCGGTCTCTGTTTAGCAAACACCATGTTCTATTTATTTATTTATTTATTTAAAAAAATTTTTTTTCAATGTTTGTTTATTTTTGGGACAGAGAGAGA